GGTGAGCAGAGAGAGGAAGGAGGGAGGAGTGGGGAAGGGATTAGTAGAGAGAGGGAAGGAGGGAGGGGGTGTGGTCTTGGTGTGTGCCACACCTTTGGGGAGCAAGACATGATTCTAAGAGGGACTTTACCTAACAAATGTAATCCATGAAACCTGGTTTCTTATACCCTCAATGAATCCCCAACAATAAATTAAATAAATAAATAAACCATGGAAAAATATGTTTAAAAAAATGTTTTTCAGTCATTAGTAATAAGTTAACCTTAGCTTACTGCAATTTTTTTATTTCTAAACTTTAATTTTTTAACTGCTTTTTTGTAGTAATACTTAAAACACAAACATATTGTATATATAGCAGTATAAAAATATCTTTAATCCTTATTCTATGGGCATTTTTTCTATTCATAAAATTTTTTTATAATTTTACTTTTAAAACTTTTTTTGTTAAAAACTCAGACACAAACATATGCATTAGTCTAGGACCACACAGGGTCAGGATCATCCAGATGTCATTAGAAAATAGGAAGTTTTCCAGTCCATTTTAATCTTATGTGACCACATGTCATTGTTGACCACATTGCCATTGAGTAGAACATGATTGTGTATTTGGAAATAAATGTCATAGACTGTTAAACTGTTAGACTGTGGTTGATATTTTCTATTTGCTTCAGTGTTACAGAAGAAGCCATCTTCAGAATAAGGTCAGGAATATTCAGTCTTGATTACGATAGTGTTGCTTATATGCAGCTTGGAGAAATAAACTCATTATTCCCCATGTTTCATACTAAAGAATATCCAATGTATCATCTCACCTCTTTAGCATACACAATTACTATGTCTTTGATTTTCTTATTTCTATTTATATTATACTAGATGTATATTTTCATATTTTGTCTAAAGAGAATCCTTTCGTCAACTTTTAGTCCATGAAGCTATTGTGAAATGTCATTCCTAGAATGAAAAGGAAACTACTTTGTGGGACTTCTATGTGACCAAATCCAGCAGGCTTCTAATCATGTGATGTTTTGTTTCCTCTTTATCCCTTTTGCATATCCAGTCCAATTCTAGAGAAAAACCCGGAACAAGCATTTCCCTCTGACACATGTTCAGCATCATCACTCCGTCTGAACCAGCCCACTGCAGGTGGTGTACTTACGTGTGAGGCAGAACGGGGCCTTGAGGCCTGTAAACTCACAGACACTGCCATTGCCATTGCAGAGGATCCACCAGATGCTATCGCTGGGCTGCAAGCAGAACAAATGCAAACAGGTTCACGTGGGAATGTCGATGCTCCAAGTATGAACAGATGCTCGATCCTAGTTGTGCCCTTGAATAAGGACAGTGCCATGGGAAAAGCTGTTCCATGAAAGAAGTGCTAGAGAATGGGGACTTGAATGTCACTGAGTAGAGCAAATGTCATTGACTTCAGATAAAACTTTCATTAACTGCATCACAATGTAGTATAACAATAGCATGTTTGGAGGGCAAATTGATCCATTTTAGAAGATGTCAAAATAATTACTGGTGGGACAGGGAATTATAATTTGAGAGCCTACTGTACACCAGGTATTTAATCCAATACTGTTATCCCTATGTTATAGAAAAGTTAACTGAAGTTCATTCAAAGATAAATAACTTCCTGCCCGGCCCCACCCCTCATGTTACAGATGGTCTTGCATAGTGGTTAAGAAGGAGCACAGACTCTGGGTATAAGCCTGGGTTCTAATTTTAGCTCCCCTACACAAGTAATCTTGTGTGATCTTAGCTGAGATTATTTCAATTCTCTGTACCACTCTGTTCTCTATAGAGTAGAGCTGATGCCAGCACCTACCATAGAGGTTTATTAGAAGAACCAAACAGGTTAATAGACGTAAAGTACTCAAAAGTGTTCTGCACATGCCCAGCATAATATTCTAGATGGAAGAGAAACCTTTTTCTTCCTTTTAGAAATTATTTCCCTTCGTGGACCCAAAATACATCTCATACATGTAAATTGCACATAAGGTAGTATAAGTGTTTTGTGGATGATATAAGTGGAAAAGCAATGGAAGAATTTGTGTTTACTTGAGCACTTTCGAAGTAACTAACGTCCGAGTCTGCTCTTAAGACACATACCCATGATTGTGTTAATAGCAGAATCTAGCAGTTCCAGGTGAGTGGAATAGAAGCACCTGGTATTGATTCTCTTTGTCACAACTGAATATTGATCCACATTTGTAAATCTAAAATGGCAAACAGTGAACTGCACAGAACTGTCAATTTTGAGTTTTGAAGATGGTTCTTTAGTGTTTGGATTAATTGTCTTTAAAGATTTGAAAGCTTATTTAATGAATGTATCTACTACTTCATAATTTCTTTGGTAAAATTCTTTAGTATTGAATTCATATTTCTTTTTTTGTTCCTATTCCTTTAAGACTTCTCTGTTGAGAACCCATGGGATGATCAATTGATTCTCAAACTTTTATCTGGGCTTTCTAAACCAATGAGTTCCTATCCAAATGCTTTTGAATGGCAATGTAAACTTCCAGCCATCAAGCCCAGGAGTGAATTTCAATTGGGTAAGAATTATTTGGATAATCTAACTTTAAATCTTACTTCTCTGTGGGAAGTTGATGCCAATGTATGTGTGCGTGCATGCATGAGTGAGTGTGTTTGTGTGTGTGTG